AGTTGGTTCGGGCGCCAAAAAACCGAACGCCGAAAACCGAACGACGAAAGCCGAATGCCGACTTAGGTGGTTTTGGTTCTGAGCAAGGACCAGGGATTTTAATAATAAAAGAAGTCATCAAAAAATGTCTGTTTTGATGCACAAAAAATGTTTTTATGGTTTGTAAAAATTGTTTTGACTTTTTGAGAACCGAGACTTGAATAAATTGTCGGTTTTGATCACAAAAGACCGACTTGACTAAGTCTTCAATTCTTGATCTTGTCCTTGAGTCTTTTAGGTCTTGTTCCAAGCCATTCTTCACGCCTTGAGTTATTCAATGAAACTCTTCATATCCACGGCGGTTTGGCAATTATCAAAACCTGTCAGAAATGAACACGACTTTAGTTTAACGTGCAAAGTGTGTTCCAACAGAGATTTCTTTTGAAGTGGGGGATAAGGTTTTTTTAAGGTGTCACCTTGGAAAAAGGTTCTACGTTTTGGAAAGATAGGAAAATTGAGTCCTCGTTTCATTGGGCCATATCCCATCACTACGAAGGTTGGCCCCGTAGCTTATCAGTTAGAGCTACTACCTGAGCTGAACAAGATTCACAACGGGTTCCATGTGTCTATGCTCCGACGTTACCGATCAGATCCGACTCATCAGTTACCTAAAGGCGCAGTGACTCTGGACGAGAACTTGACCTATGAGGAGGAGCTGGTGCAGATTTTAGCACGAGAAGTGAAAGAGTTAAGGAATAAGCGGGTGCCTCTAGTCAAAGTCTTGTAGCGTAACCATGCTGTCGAAGAGGCTACGTGGGAGACGGAGGAGTCCATGAGAGTTCAGTATCCTCACCTCTTCTGCGATGATGGTTAAGGTAATTTCGAGGACGAAATTCTTTTAAGGGGGAGAGAAATGTAACGCCTCAAAACCCGGCTTGGTATTTTTAATTAATTTATATAATTAATTAGTTACTAAGTCGGTAAAAATGAAGATTATTTTCTAATTTGCGTATTTAATATGATAGTTGACCTACGTTCTAGGGCTCGCTGTTCTGAACCCGACCGTACGAATGAATTAAGAATCGGACTTGCTGGGCCTAAGATACGAATGCCGAATAAGGTAATTGGGATTAAATACATCGTGACTGGTTAGGAAGTGTAAACTGGACCCTAAAATTCTATTTAATTTTATATTAAATATGAAGGGGTTAGGAGACTTACCATCCATCCGTTTTTTCCCGTTCGTGTCTCTGCTCTGCGTCCGTTTCTCCTTCGTCGTTCCGTCAGCCAGCAGCAGCGCCGCCGAGCTCCGCTGACGCCGCCCTCGCCGAACGCCCTAGCCGGCGTCGCCGTTCTCCCTTCCCCGTCGCACGGTAGATTCGGCCGCAACAGGGAGTGCAGCGGCGAGCTTCTCTCATTCGATTTGGTTCCTAATTCTTCAATAATTCGAGGTGATTTGTGATTCCTATACCTATAGTTGTCATTAATTCGTAGTTTAGGATCTTGTGGTAGCAATTTTGTGTTTGATTGTGAAACTTGGGGTTGAATGTGCATTAGATTGGATTGGGATTGTGTTGGGGGCTGTTTTCCGGCGATTCGACGGAGGCTGCCCGGTGGTGGCTACGGCCGGCGTACGGGCAGTTTCCGGCGGGTCCGATTTGGACCCAACTGGTTTGATTTGGATCCAATTGGTTAAACCGGGTTAATTCGAGTTTCAATTGGGATTGGTTTTTGTGCAAATGGGTCGGCTTAAATTCAATTGGGGCTGTCTGGGCAGTTGGGGCTGACCAGGTCGTTGGACTGACTGTCCGGGGTGTTGGGCCATTGGGCCGGCAGCGTTGGGCCGGTTGAGTAGGGCTGCCTGAACGGGCAGTGGGTTGGGGCTGCCGGGTCGGTCCGGCAGGTTGTCGGCTGATCCAGTGGTGAATGATACTACTCCGGCGGGGGCAGCGGGCCCGAGGATCGATTCCTTGATCTCGACTCCGCGCAGGTAAGTTGGGTTAATTGCAATTCGGGTTGTTTGATTATGCATGATGGTAATTGCGGGTCTTTGGCCCGGATAGGCCGCTACGTGACTTGTTGTGAGTTGTGAACTGAGATTTAAATTAAATTGATCTTGTTGGTGAATATTGTGGATTATGAATGATAAATAGGAATTATGCCACCTAGATGAATTTTATAATTTATAATTTTATAATTTATTCAGTTGATTTATTTTTTTTATAAATTATGCATGCGAATACCAATTTAGTAACAACTCGGTTCGCTAACCCGTTGGTTCGTGTTATGCGGGTTGGGGTTTTACAGCTGCTGCTGCGTAGGATTCCCAATTCACGTTCTCATTCGGCAGAGATGTGATTTTTAGGCGATTCTGCACGTTACTTCTCTGATTGGGACTAATTCGGTCCCAGTCGGGGTACACTTTTTGGTCCAACATTCTCTGAATTGAAATTCGTTTGCACCGTTGCGATCGTACAATTAAACTCTATCCAACGATATAATTTTTATATTTATTCGTTATACTTTTTCTGATATCATATTTTTGGTGTTTGACTTTGGCAGAGTCAAAATTGGTTTGTTTGACCTTTACTAAAAATAATGCTCATACAAAATTCATATTATTTATTCTCATGATTTATTTCAATAAATAATTTCAAAGTTCATAAACAAATTTCTTCATTTATCCTTGATTTGGGTTTGTACTCAGGTTTCCAATTAAAGTCACATAATAAGTCAACATTTTGGATTTATCTCTATGAGACTTATCCTGATGGTAATATTTTATATATAAAACACATACTATTTTGGCCTAAAGCCCAGCAATAATGTATTTTAATCGAAACAAATTTGATTAATGGAATAATTATCTTATTAATAATTCTAGGGTATGTTTTGGGGCGTTACAGAATCAATGTCCAGACCAAGGCATGTGTGGGAGCAATGTTGGCAGTATATGGGAGATGATGTTTTATACCGGCAACGTCGTTTGTTCGATCATGAAGGTATTTTTTTCTAATATTATAATGATTTCAAATAAAAACAATATGACTAACACTTTATAAATTTTAATTAGGTCTAATTCTTACTGATGATGAGATTCAAAGCCATATTCTATGTGATCTCGAAGACTTGCTGAGGAGTCGTGGTAAGAGCCTTCGCGATTACCCAAATATGCCTCAAGCGAACCTCCAGAGAATTTGGACTTCAGCCAATCGATTGATTTTTGATGAAATGCAATACGATCGAATAGCATTGACAATCGAGCACACCAGACTATTGCGTTCACTGAACGATGAACAACGTCTAGCGTATGAAGCAGTAATGCAATCCGTTCAAACAAATGCTGGCAAAGTTTTCTTTCTGTATGGATATGGAGGCACTGGCAAGACATATGTCTGGAGAACATTATCAGCTGCAATACGATGTCGAGGTGATATAGTACTGAATGTTGCGTCAAGTGGAATAACATCGTTACTGTTGCCAGGTGGTAGAACGACTCACTCGCGTTTTAAACTCCCATTGATTCCAGATGAAAACTCTACTTGCAACATAAAGCAAGGCTCTCCGCTAGCACAACTCTTGGTGAAAGCGAAATTAATCATTTGGGATGAAGCCCCTATGACACACAAGTATTGCTTCGAAGCTTTGGATAGAAGTTTGCGCAATATTCTACGCTTTTCTAATCCAATGAGTGAACAACAAACTTTCGGAGGAAAAACAATTGTCTTTGGTAGAGATTTTCATCAAATTTTGCCAGTTATTCCAAAAGGAACGAGACAGGACATCGTTAACTCAACGATTAATTCTTCACACATTTGGAAAGACTGCACAGTGTTGCGTTTGACGAAAAACATGCGGCTGCAATCAATGATTCATGATAGTGGTTATGATCAATCATTTGAATTCAGCAAATGGATTGAGAGTATTGGTGACGGGAACGCAGGTGATGAACATGACGGCTATGCTGAGGTGATAATTCCTGATGACATGTTACTTCCGTCTTCTGAAGATCCAATAGCCACTATAGTGAATTCAACTTATCCAGACTTTCAAAAAATAGCCAATGAACTTAGCTACTTACAGGAGCGCGCAATTTTGGCTCTTTCTGTAACACCCCAACCCGCATGACCCAAACCCGTGAGACAGCGGACCGGTGTGCCACTGAATTCGTATCCGAATTTGCGACATTTTCAAAACAATTTTAAACAAACGTTCTATCAATACATATAAAAATCCATCGGAGTAATTTAAAATAATGCGGAAGCCTTTTTAAAGTCAAACAACTTGGGATCTTGCCCGAAAACGTAATAAGCATTAAAGTTAATTAAATAAAGAATAATCAACAGATTAAAGAGACAACCACGCCATCGTACATCTCCTCCTCAATGCCCTCTGGGATCGGCTCTAGGTTCATCTGTCTGTTCACCTACGGACAGCAAAAAGGAAAACAACGCTATCCGCTCAGCATTGACGCTGAGTGGTACTCCATTGTAGCACAAGAATAAACATAATAATTCAACAATCAAGATCGTGCGTATGTTTATCCTTTTAATAAAAATCAATTCAACTTTACATTCGGTTCTTTAGACGGTTGACCAACAGTCAACTTATTTTCTTTCTTTTCAAAACGATTTAGGTGTTACGGGTTTCCCATGACTCTTTGACCACCGGTCAAACCAATTTAGACTTTCACCAAAGTCAAACCACTTAACATTTATTTCCTATGACGGAGATAGCCTCAATCCGTAATACCGAAGAT